ACCATGTGTGTGAGCCATGACCAAATATACATATATATCCCTCAATACACAACATTGTTTGACTGTCCACCTTAGATAAATGTAGCATGTCCCACATAGGCCATACTTCTGTTGTTTCCCACTCGCCACTGATATTTGCCCTTGTTGATACGATACATGTAGATCTGGTTCACTCATTTCAGTATTCCACTGCATGTGTGAGTGTGTGTGTGTGTGTGTGTGTGTGTGCGCACACGTGCTTGTACATTGTTTATCCACTCTCCCATCAACGGACCTCAGCAAGTGTTCACTAACTTACTAATTCATCAAACATTACTCAGATTCTACTATGTGTGCCATACACTATGCGGGCACCAAAGACCTACAAAGAAACTATATCATTCTTGCACTCAGGCCAAAGGTACAAAGCTCCTTGTGGACACGCCACGGGTAGGGGAGGCCCGCAGACTGTGCCAGCAGTCAGCTGGGTGTTTCTGTCTAGAGCCGTGGACAGCAAACCATGGCTCGCAAGCCACATGCGGCTCTTTGGTCCCCTGAGTGTGGCTCTTCCACAAAATACCACGTGCGGGCGCGCACATACAGTGTGATTGAAACTTTGTGGCCCATGCGCAGAAGTCGGTATTTTGTAGAAGACCTGGTATTTTGTGGAAGAGCCACACTCAAGGGGCCAAAGAGCCGCATGTGGCTCTTGAACCACGGTTTGCCGAGCCTCCGTTTGCCGACCACTGGTCTAGAGCCCAGGAAGGAGCGACGACTTAGCCACGAGCCTAGAGGTCTCGTGCTTCCAGGGGGAGAGGGAGACAGCGAGAGCCTGCCAAGGGGAACTGACCAGCCCACCCACTGCAACATGAGTAATAAAAACATGGTGGGGTGTTCGCTCACAGTGACAGATAACCAAAACAGGAGGTCACTCCACCAAATCCCCAAATCAGACTGACCGCGGGGGTAGCCCTCCCCAGCAAGTCCCATAGGCAGCCCCCCGTGATGGTGCGTCTGGCCCTGCTGGCGTGTCTGACGGCTGCACAGAGTAACAGGCACGCTGACAGCTCCCATCAACATTTTGACACGTCCTCTCACACAACCCACCCTTTGTCTGGCCTCCAAGAACCAGCTCGAATCTGTATTTTAGACATTACCAGGTTTTCCTAATTGTCTGGATGATGTATTTGAGACTATTGCCATTTAAAATGTAATCATTCATGTATGTATAATTTATATCCCTTGTCTTCAAATAAAAATAAAAAATAAATACATCCCCCATCTTCCGAAAAAGATTGGTAGCAAAGCCATTCATTTTATACTTTTTCTCAGTCATCGTTTTGCATCTCTATCTTAGCTCCCCATCTGCAGGATAAAGTCCCTTGGAAGAAGATTGTATATTATACATCTTTTGTTCTTCCAGTATCTTCAGTGCAGGAGAAGGCTCACGCCAGTGCCTGACAGAGACTTGTTGGTTGAGCTCTATCGCTCCCAGCCTTGGTAACATCCTTTGGGGGAAATGTCTCTTTAAAATGTGCGTAATTCCTGGCCAGTCACCGGCAACGGTATCCTTCCAGAAGGCAAGCCAGTTTCCTTGTTAAGGATCATTTTTTAAAGTTCATCTAAAGCTCAAGTGATGGGAACCCTTCCTGCAAGAATTGGAACTGTGCAAAGCAAAGCGTCCCCGGGAGGAACTAAAAAAGGCGTCCATGGGGGACAGACTCCAGGTCTGTGGTGAGAACGAAACCATGGCCGGCTGACAGGGTGCTGTGGACTGATTGCTGTGTCCCCCCAAAAACACAGATGTTGAAACCTAAGCCCCAGTGAGATGGTGTTTGGAGCTGAGGCCTTTGGGTCTGATTAGGTCACGAGGGTGGAACCCTGCTGAATAGGGTGAGTGCCCTGAGGGCTGCAGAGAGCAGAGCTCCCTTCCTCCCCCAACGAGGACACGGACACGGTGAGAAGACAGCTGCTAAGACCCAGGTAGCAGACCTCCCCGAGGTTGAACCCGCCACAGCCCGGATCCTGGACATCCCAGCTCCACAGCCGTGACCAGTCAATGGCTGAGTTTATAAGCCACTCGGCCGATGGCAGTCGGTGGTAGCAGCCCACACGGACTAAGACGCAGGACTCCAGGAAATGACAGCTACAGGTTGTTAATGACTATCCCTCATTCATCACCACATCCCACTGGAATTCAAAAACCAGCATTTATATGCTCTACAGTCAGCATTTATTCTAAACTGGGAAATCACCCCACCCCACTACGGGTGGGTTTTCTGCTGCTGTTCCTGCTAATGCTATTGTACTCTCCCTTTTTTTTTTTTTAATCCTTGGTTTAAAAAAAAATCACGCTCAGAGGTTGAAAGTCGACCTTTGAACCAGGAGGTCACGGTTCGATTCCCAGTCAGGGCACATGCTCAGGTTGCAGACTAAATCCCCAGTGTGGGGCCTGTAGGAGGCAGCTGATTGATGTTTCTCTCTCATCATTGATGCTTGTATCTCTCTCTCCCTCCCTCTTCCTCTCTGAAATCAATAAAATATACACTTTTTTTAATCACTGAGAACATTTCAAAATATAATTTTAAAAATCAAGGCAGAGTAGCTCCCTAGCGTCTTATGCCCCAGACTCTTCCTACAACTGACCTGGCGCGCATTACAGTGCGACACAGGGGAGCGACTACCTCGAGGATCCATTGGGAGAGAGCCGCAGGGTCCCACCTCGTCCCGTCCCGCTGCAGCACTGGGCGGGGCTTCCTCATCCATGTGCAAGCGAGCTGTGTTCTGAGTTCTGAGTCTGGAACTCAGAATTCACTTTTCCATAGGAACAGCCCTGCACACGATAGGCTCCCAGGAGAGCCCACACAGCCGACAGGCCCCAAACAGGGTAAGCCTCTGTCTCTATGAGGAAGTGCCTTTCAGCACGCGTGCGCTGGGCATCTGTGCCCCTCCGCTGGGGCGGGGCGGGGGCCCTTGTGCAGACAGACCTGATGCTTTGCAGTCACCACCCCCTGGTCCCAGGAAACTGGACAGCGTCCTCGACTGTCATTCAGATGCACTG